GTGGAGTGGGGCTATGTCTGTTGTTTTTAGTGACTGTGGTATGACCCCTGTGTCTATGCTCCCTCTCCATATAGAAATATCCTAAAGTTTGGATGTTTATTTTTGAGTAATACTTATGCGAGAGTAGTAGTTTCAGCAAGGTAGCGCAGTACACACACTGTGACAATAACCACCATACGCCACTGAAAGTAGTATTAGTTATAAAGATTCCTTCTTAGTCATCATGATACCATAGAGGAGAGTGAAGTTGTTTTCTTGGTAATGGAAGGGAAGTACCATTTGCTTCCAGTTCCGTTCTCTCAACCGGATACATCGCATCGCTCCAAGACATACAGAATCATACATTCTGAACCACATCCAACCTCAAGGTAGCATCGCTTGCCGGAACATACATATACTACTTGCGGCTTGAAACAAATATTTAAATCACTTAGTTCTCGTATCAACCTAAAATAAGAACAATTCCAGGCAAAACTTGACGTTTAAGCATAATATTACTAACATAGATCAATAAAATCCTACTGCTAATAATATTACAGGTAAATTAAATGTTTCATAATGCTTGAAACAAACGATAGCTTTTGATTTTTTTTCTGATAATAATAACAGTTATGACATGTCAAAAATAATATCCATATTTTACAACTGGGTAAAGTTAAATAACCAGTTATTAATCAGTGTTTTAGTTAGTTAGTAAAAGATTAGCCGGTATTCTCCCGGCCCGGGCCTTTTCCAAGTGGTGGCCCGGCCTTGGCTCCCTCTTTAGGGAGTGTCTGAGACCTAAGTCTCCCATGGGAGGAGGCACAAGTACCTCCTCATCTTTGGGACCAACTGTCTAGCCACAAGCTAGGCCTCTCTGGTCTGCCATCCCCGCCCCAAGGGGGCAAATGGGAATGACAGTCTTATGAGCTAAAGGCTCGGGCTCAGGCACCTACCCTACCCTAGAAGGGTTAGGCATGGTGTCGATCCTAGCCACAAGCTAGGCCTCTCTGGTCTGCCATCCCCGCCCCAAGGGGGCAAATGGGAATGACAGTCTTATGAGCTAAAGGCTCGGGCTCAGGCACCTACCCTACCCTAGAAGGGTTAGGCATGGTGTCGATCCAGTGTTTTAAAATACATAACTTGTATTAAATGAACATAATGTTTAAATAAAAACATATTACATAAATATGTAACATAATATAACTAATTCTTCAAAAAGGCAATCCCAGTTTTCAAAACATTTATAAAAATATAAAAAAACAAATGCTAAAATACCTATAACTAAATTCCTAATCAGTCTTCCAGAATTTGAGTCCACAGACTAAGTGAGCAATGTGAGTGAAACGAAAACACGAGTTTCAAAATAAATTCTCTTCAAATTTAAAAAAAAAATATTGCATGAAAGTTATGTAGTCTCATTTCAACATCGATATTATCTAACAAATCATTTATATGTAATGACCTAAATATTTAAAATCCTCAGCGATTTCATACTGGATAAAAATATTACTCAGATATTAGCTCTAGTATTTTCTTGTAATATCTTATATTTTTAAATAATGCAGTTGTTCAATAAATCGCATTTGATGATTTAACTAGATCTGTGACTCGACAGAAAAGTAATCTTCTGTTTATCATTCTGTCCATAACTGCATTCACAGTCAAGATAAGAGTCTGTTATTCTCCGGAATTTTTGTGAATGCGTTAAGCGCCACGAGTTAAGACGTGATGACGTCCATATATCGTTATAACTGCAAGCAATTTCTTCAGGAACGACTGATAATGATGCTGTAGTACGTCTTAAATTATCGAAGAAGAGCCAAGATTTTTACCTCTAGAGGATTTTAGTGCAGGACGTAGGTAGTGTAAAATATTGTTACAAGTCGTGGTGTTAACTTCTACGACAAGAATTATGAGCATGAGTTAAGTCTCAGTTTTGTGGTAACTGGCCGAGCATCTGTTAAATGCGAAGCTCCTAGTGATGGAGTCAGCTATGTCCACTAGGATGTCTGTTATGTTGCTGTTAGCTGTGAGGGAGGAAATGAGGTGTCGGGCAAGTTTGTTAATGCGATAAAGTGTACCAAAACTTTTTGATTGGTGCGTCACTTGAAAGAGTGAAAACAGCCTCGCCAGGAGCCACAATTAAATGTTTGTACGTCTGACCCGAGCGTGGGCATGTTTACATTTTAATAGAGGCCTCTTTGTCGAAAATCCTCAAGCCTTCTGGTGTCCGCCTGGCAACCTTATGCCTTTATAGATGTGTCGAGGACTTAGAAATAAGTTCCTCAGCAGCATCGGTGCTTGATAATGTGACTCTCTTTTTACATCAATGTCATTTCCAGCGATATCAATGTCAGTGACCCTTGAAAATGACATCAGCTTGATGTCTTGAAGTTATAGGAGTGTACTGGAGGGGAAATAGAAATATCGGAGACACGAGGTGTGTACTGGAGGGGAAATAGAGGTATCGAAGACACAAGGTGTGTACTGGAGGGGAAATAGAGGTATCGAAGACACAAGGTGTGTACTGGAGGGGAAACAGAGATATCGGAGACACAAGGTGTGTACTGGAGGGGAAATAGAGGTATCGGAGATACAAGGTGTGTACTGGAGGAGAAACAGAGGTATCGGAGATACAAAGTGTGTACTGGAGGAGAAACAGAGGTATCGGAGATACAAGGTGTGTACTGGAGGAGAAACAGAGGTATCGGAGATACAAAGTGTGTACTGGAGGAGAAACAGAGGTATCGGAGATACAAGGTGTGTACTGGAGGAGAAACAGAGGTATCGGAGATACAAGGTGTGTACTGGAGGAGAAATAGAGGTATTGGAGACACAAGGTGTGTACTGGAGGAGAATCAGAGGTATCGGAGACACAAGGTGTGTACTGGAGGAGAAACAGAGGTATCGGAGACACAAGGTGTGTACTGGAGGAGAAACAGAGGTATCGGAGACACAAGGTGTGTACTGGAGAAGAAACAGAGGTATCGGAGACACAACGTGTGTACTGGAAGGGAAACAGAGGTGTCGGAGACACAAGGTGTGTACTGGAGGGGAAACAGAGGTGTCGGAGACACAAGGTGTGTACTGGAGGAGAAACAGAGGTGTCGGAGATACAAGGTGTGTACTGGAGAAGAAACAGAGGTGTCGGAGACACAATGTGTGTACTGGAGGAGAAACAGAGGTTTCGGAGACACAAGGTGTGTACTGGAGGGGAAACAGAGGTGTCGGAGACACAAGGTGTGTACTGGAGGGGAAACAGAGGTGTCGGAGAAACAAGGTGTGTACTGGAGGGGAAACAGAGGAGTCGGAGACACAAGGTGTGTACTGGAGGAGAAACAGAGGTGTCGGAGACACAAGGTGTGTACTGGAGGAGAAACAGAGGTGTCGGAGACACAAGGTGTGTACTGGAGGAGAAACAGAGGTATTGGAGACACAAGGTGTGTACTGGAGGAGAAACAGAGGTATTGGAGACACAAGGTGTGTACTGGAGGAGAAACAGAGGTGTCGGAGACACAAGGTGTGTACTGGAGGAGAAACAGAGGTGTCGGAGATACAAGGTGTGTACTGGAGGGGAAACAGGTGTCGGAGACACAAGGTGTGTACTGGAGGAGAAACAGAGGTAGCGGAGACAAGGTGTGTACTGGAGGGGAAACAGAGGTGTCGGAGACACAAGGTGTGTACTGGAGGGGAAACAGAGGTATCGGAGACACAAGGTGTGCACTGGAGGGGAAACAGAGGTGTCGGAGACACAAGGTGTGTACTGGAGGGGAAACAGAGGTATCGGAGACACAAGGTGTGTACTGGAGGGGAAACAGAGGTGTCGGAAACAAAAGGTGTGTACTGGAGGAGAAACAGAGGTGTCGGAGACACAAGGTGTGTACTGGAGGAGAAACAGAGGTGTCGGAGACACAAGGTGTGTACTGGAGGAGAAACAGAGGTGTCGGAGACACAAGGTGTGTACTGGAGGAGAAACAGAGGTGTCGGAGACACAAGGTGTGTACTGGAGGGGAAACAGAGGTATTGGAGACACAAGGTGTGTACTGGAGGAGAAACAGAGGTGTCGGAGACACAAGGTGTGTACTGGAGGAGAAACAGAGGTGTCGGAGACAAAAGGTGTGTACTGGAGGGGAAACAGAGGTGTCGGAGACACAAGGTGTGTACTGGAGGGGAAACAGAGGTGTCGGAGACACAAGGTGTGTACTGGAGGGGAAACAGAGGTGTCGGAGACACAAGGTGTGTACTGGAGGGGAAACAGAGGTGTCGGAGACACAAGGTGTGTACTGGAGGGGAAACAGAGGTGTCGGAGACACAAGGTGTGTACTGGAGGGGAAACAGAGGTGTCGGAGACACAAGGTGTGTACTGGAGGGGAAACAGAGGTGTCGGAGACACAAGGTGTGTACTGGAGGGGAAACAGAGGTGTCGAGACACAAGGTGTGTACTGGAGGGGAAACAGAGGTGTCGGAGACACAAGGTGTGTACTGGAGGGGAAACAGAGGTGTCGGAGACACAAGGTGTGTACTGGAGGGGAAACAGAGGTATCACAAAGCTTGCAACAGAGTATAAAGCCTCAAGATTGCCACTAAAAGTTTCCAGAAGAATTCCTTCCTAACACAACTAACCCACACTACTACTACACGACTTATCCCGCGTCTTCCTCTAAGTTTGGTTGTGGAGTTATAGTGATGGACACAGGTATTATACTCCAAAATAAGTTTAACAGCTACAGCTCAAACCCACAAGTTTAAAATGATAATTGCTAAGTGTTCGTAACCCACCCTGGCCCGTCCTTATGAAGTTTTGTGTAAAGCGTGGTTTTATAAAGTGTCTGATAAAGCCCCACTGTGTGTGACATGTAAAATAAATATTTACCTGCTTAAGTGTCTTTGGAGTACCATTTGTCTGATTACGTCATTGACTGCCTAGATGGCGTCATAATGTTCCCACCGCTGATAAAGGCCATTATCTGGTGATTTTTATCCTTTAAAATAAATTAACAGTAACAACGACAGCTTACCACTGGATAATCTCCATAAATGCTCTGGTGATTGAAGACGTAGAAATAGCTCTTCTGGTTAATGTTGGAGTGTAGATCAGCCATATGGAGTACTGGGGCTGTGATCTGAGCATCACTAAGAATCTGCAGCGTCTGGTCTCTCACCTCCTTCTCGTCGTCCTGAGGAGTGTGGTTCCACTGCGTGTACTCGTTGATCACAGCATGGTAGATCTGCGACGCCTGCCAGGAAACACCCATTATTTTTTAAAGTAAATCATCTATTATCTGGTTCTGTAGGCGGATAAGTTTGGGTCGAAAAAATTGCCTTATATTATATAACTCCTATTTTATATATTCTTTCATAATATTATGGCTAAACACTTTAAATATCCATCTTATTGCATTCTAATTCATATATATAATATTTTTTTTGGAGTGAGATATCCAACGAATACTTTGGACAACATCTGCAGTTAGTCTGAGCAAAGCAAAAAATAAATTGCATATATTAAAGAAATCTAAAATTCATGATCCATTTGAAGAGAAAACGTAAACAGCACACATGCACTCCGAAAATATACTTAAACCGTATGCAGTTGATAAACAATGACAGAACAAATGCTGATACAATCATTTCACTGTTCACCCATCCTATAGGAGGAACCTGAATGTAATTTTTTAAAGGTTTTTCAAATTCATTTTCATAAAAAAGCCGAACTAAGCACTGGTTCTTAACTTTCTAATGTGGTGGATTGGTATTTTTTTTCTCAGTTTGTGAGGGAGCGGTGTAGGCTTCCCAACATAGGGATAATAGAGATTAATGGGAAAACTCTAAATTTTTACGTTTAATTAAGAAGAATAAGCAACAAAGTGTTTGTATTATTTATCTTATAAACATGCTAAAACACACCAAAAGTTTACCAATAGAAAAGGTGAGTCTGCTTCATTTCCAGCTTATTTAGCCATGGCTTGATTGAGGACAATTGACATGTGCACTAATGATCCAGTATCCATACCGTTCCTGTGCTTCGTCCTAACGACACCCATGTTAGAGAAAGCAATCTGACAGAGGCATGTTGTGGGGAATGGGAATCGAGTTTTCAGGGAAATTACAGCAAGTTGTTCTTTCACTTAAATCCAAAAAGAAGCAAATGATGTTAAAGCTTCGAAATTCATCTTCAGTCTTTCATTAGCCGCCAGCTTTATCAGCTGCCAGCTTTATCAGCCGCAACTTTATCAGCCGCCAGCTTCAACAATAAATCCTCCTCAGCAACAGCCAAATCATCCTTCATTGCAATAAATGGATTTCATATTCAACCATTTCCTTTCCTTAGATCTTTTGCTGGAAAGTAGAACTCGCGCTCAGCTACATTTATAGTGTTTTCTATTGACGTTACGTAAAAGTGTTATATTGAGCTCAACACCCGCGATCTGTTAGTGGTTCTGAGGATTCTCTTTCCCACGGAATATAGAGATTGAAAGTATAATAACCTATGTGATATGTCAAGATATCTTATTAATGAAAATAAGATACAAGACAAATTAAGCAAATTACCTAAATTTACTTGCAACAGATAAGCGAAATATAGATATAAATCTAGATGTACTCATGCAAAGCCTTTTGTGGCCTAGTTCTTAGGCCTTTTGTGTATCCATATGCTCTTACGCTACTGTCAACAGGATGGATATGGGGTGTACAATAAACTAATCACTTCGGCAGCACAATCTAATCTAATCATTTCCACGGCCAGGTCCCAGACTAGAACTAAGTTGGACAAGAACTGATACGGAATTAATAACTATGGAGAAGCACATGGGAAAGTAAGTGCATACTTTCATACTGAATAACAGGAGGAGTCTGTAAGAATTCCTCGTCTTCATACATGTTCATGAGACATTGAAAAGATCAACAATCCTGCCAGTTAAAAAAAGGGTAAAAAAAAATAATTTCCATTTCACATTTACTATATGACAAGAGAGTAGTACCTCCCTGGATGGGTGTTGTCTACCAGCTTACTACCACAGGATGGTAGTACCTCCCTGGATGGGTGTTGTCTACCAGCTTACTACCACAGGATGGTAGTATCTCCCTGGATGGTTGTTGTCTACCAGCTTACTACCACAGGATGGTAGTACCTCCCTGGATGGTTGTCTACCAGCTTACTACCACAGGATGGTAGTACCTCCCTGGATGGTTGTTGTCTACCAGCTTACTACCACAGGATGGTAGTACCTCCCTGGATGGTTGCTGCCTACCAACCTACTACCACAGGATGGTAGTACCTCCCTGGATGGTTGTTGTCTACCAGCTTACTACCACAGGATGGTAGTACCTCCCTGGATGGTTGTTGTCTACCAGCTTACTACCACAGGATGGTAGTACTCCCTGGATGGTTGTTGTCTACCAGCTTACTACCACAGGATGGTAGTACCTCCCTGGATGGTTGTTGTCTACCAGCTTACTACCACAAGATGGTAGTACCTCCCTGGATGGTTGTTGTCTACCAGCTTACTACTACAGGATGGTAGTACCTCCCTGGATGGTTGTTGTCTACCAGCTTACTACCACAGGATGGTAGTACCTCCCTGGATGGTTGTTGTCTACCAGCTTACTACCACAGGATGGTAGTACCTCCCTGGATGGTTGTTGTCTACCAGCTTACTACCACAGGATGGTAGTACCTCCCTGGATGGTTGCTGCCTACCAACCTACTAACCACAGGATGGTAGTACCTCCCTGGATGGTTGTTGTCTACCAGCTTACTACCACAGCATGGTAGTACCTCCCTGGATGGTTGTTGTCTACCAGCTTACTACCTCCAGGATGGTAGTACCTCCCTGGATGGTTGTTGTCTACCAGCTTACTACCACAGGATGGTAGTACCTCCCTGGATGGTTGTTGTCTACCAGCTTACTACCACAGGATGGTAGTACCTCCCTGGATGGTTGTTGTCTACCAGCTTACTACCAAAGGATGGTAGTACCTCCCTGGATGGTTGTTGTCTACCAGCTTACTACCACAGGATGGTAGTACCTCCCTGGATGGTTGCTGCCTACCAACCTACTACCACAGGATGGTAGTACCTCCCTGGATGGTTGTTGTCTACCAGCTTACTACCACAGCATGGTAGTACCTCCCTGGATGGTTGTTGTCTACCAGCTTACTACCACAGGATGGTAGTACCTCCCTGGATGGTTGTTGTCTACCAGCTTACTACCACAGGATGGTAGTACCTCCCTGGATGGTTGTTGTCTACCAGCTTACTACCACAGGGTGGTAGTACCTCCCTGGATGGTTGTTGTCTACCAGCTTACTACCACAGGATGGTAGTACCTCCCTGGACGGTTGTTGTCTACCAGCTTACTACCACAGGATGGTAGTACCTCCCTGGATGGTTGTTGTCTACCAGCTTACTACCACAGGATGGTAGTACCTCCCTGGATGGTTGTTGTCTACCAGCTTACTACCACAGGATGGTAGTACCTCCCTGGATGGTTGTTGTTTACTAGCTTACTACCACAGGATGGTAGTACCTCCCTGGATGGTTGTTGTTAACCAGCTTACTACCACAGGATGGTAGTACCTCCCTGGATGGTTGTTGTCTACCAGCTTACTACCACAGGATGGTAGTACCTCCCTGGATGGTTGTTGTTTACCAGCTTACTACCACAGGATGGTAGTACCTCCCTGGATGGTTGTTGTCTACCAGCTTACTAACCACAGGATGGTAGTACCTCCCTCGATGGTTGTTGTCTACCAGCTTACTACCACAGGATGGTAGTACCTCCTCGATGGTTGTTGTCTACCAGCTTACTACCACAGGATGGTAGTACCTCCCTGGATGGTTGTTGTCTACCAGCTTACTACCACAGGATGGTAGTACCTCCCTGGATGGTTGTTGTGTACCAGCTTAATACCACAGGATGGTAGTACCTCCCTGGATGGTTGTTGTCTACCAGCTTACTACCACAGGATGGTAGTACCTCCCTGGATGGTTGTTGTCTACCAGCTTACTACCACAGGAGGTAGTACCTCCCTGGATGGTTGTTGTCTACCAGCTTACTACTACAGGATGGTAGTACCCCTGGATGGTTGTTGTCTACAAGCTTACTACCACAGGATGGTAGTACCTCCCTGGATGGTTGTTGTCTACCAGCTTACTACTACAGGATGGTAGTACCTCCCTGGATGGTTGTTGTCTACAAGCTTACTACCACAGGATGGTAGTACCTCCCTGGATGGTTGTTGTCTACCAGCTTACTACCACAGGATGGTAGTACCTCCCTGGATGGTTGTTGTCTACCAGCTTACTACCACAGGATGGTAGTACCTCCCTGGATGGTTGCTGCCTACCAACCTACTACCACAGGATGGTAGTACCTCCCTGGATGGTTGTTGTCTACCAACTTACTACCACAGCATGGTAGTACCTCCCTGGATGGTTGTTGTCTACCAGCTTACTACCACAGGATGGTAGTACCTCCCTGGATGGTTGTTGTCTACCAGCTTACTACCACAGGATGGTAGTACCTCCCTGGATGGTTGTTGTCTACCAGCTTACTACCACAGGATGTTAGTACCTCCCTGGATGGTGTTGTCTACCAGCTTACTACCACAGGATGGTAGTACCTCCCTGGATGGTTGTTGTCTACCAGCTTACTACCACAGGATGGTAGTACCTCCCTGGATGGTTGCTGACTACCAGCTTACTACCACAGGATGGTAGTACCTCCCTGGATGGTTGTTGTCTACCAGCTTACTACCACAGCATGGTAGTACCTCCCTGGATGGTTGTTGTCTACCAGCTTACTACCACAGGATGGTAGTACCTCCCTGGATGGTTGTTGTCTACCAGCTTACTACCACAGGATGGTAGTACCTCCCTGGATGGTTGTTGTCTATCAGCTTACTACCACAGGATGGTAGTACCTCCCTGGATGGTTGTTGTCTACCAGCTTACTACCACAGGATGGTAGTACCTCCTGGATGGTTGTTGTCTACCAGCTTACTACCACAGGATGGTAGTACCTCCCTGGATGGTTGTTGTCTACCAGCTTACTACCACAGGATGGTAGTACCTCCCTGGATGGTTGTTGTCTACCAGCTTACTACCACAGGATGGTAGTACCTCCCTGGATGGTTGTTGTCTACCAGCTTACTACCACAGGATGGTAGTACCTCCCTGGATGGTTGTTGTCTACCAGCTTACTACCACAGGATGGTAGTACCTCCCTGGATG